AAATAAATAAATAAATAAATAATCTCAGTCTAAATTTTAAAAATTAAAAATGACTGGACATTCATGTTAATGTGGAAAGTGTGGGTGTCCCTCATAATATTTGCCATAGTTATGCTTCCCAGAGTCCATAAACACAACTCCGTTGATCCGTTATGTAGTTGTTGATCTGCTATGCGCATTTATTATTTATATTTTACACCTCTATATTTTTTTTTCTTACAATGAGTTCCAGGCAATATGCATGACTCCCTTTCTTCCTCACAAACTACCCTGTGAGGTACACCAAGTAGAGAGTGAGTGTTCCATGATCATCATGGCTTGTACACTGGACTAGAAAACCCACTCATCCACTCATCCACACCCCACAGATACTGAGCTACAATGGTGCCTTGCAAGACGAGCGCCCCGTTTAACGACGAAATTGCATTACGACGAAGTTTTTGCGATCACAAAAGCGATCGCAAAATGATGTTTCCTATGGGGGAATTTCGCCTTGTGTTGATCGGTTCCTTGCTTCGGGAACCAATTCTCGCAAAACAATGATTTTCGGCCAGCTGATCGGCGGTTTCAAAATGGCCGCCGGGTAAAAAAATGGCTCCCCGCTCTTTTCTGGGACAGATTCCTCACTGCACGGGCAGCGAAAATGGCCACGCTATGGAGGATCTTCGCTGGACGGTGAGTTTCAATCCCATAGGAATGCATTAATCAGGTTTTAATCCATTTCTATGGGCTTTTTTATTTCGCATTACAACATTTTAATTCTACAGCAATTTCGCTGGAACGAATTAACATTGTAATGCGTGGCACCACTTGTATATTGTTTCTATGAAATCCATTTCTCTCTTTCTGTCAGTACCATGAGGACTGCTACGCTCAGATGGAACAGGAAATGGGGGGATGCCAAATATATCATCGTCCCTCCCAGACATCATCATCATCTTACTGCTTTGACCCTTTGAGCCCTGGTTCCACTACAGCACAATTTGACATCCTCCACCTGTTGTATACGGTATGCATGAACTGGAACACTGTGGTTTAATGAGTCAAATTCAACACAATGTATATATGAAGTGCTGTTAGGCTTTTTGTCCCTAACAGAATAGATCCAACATGCACAAGCTTGCAGGCTGGGAGGGGGCATATATTTGCACTGAAACCATGTTATTTGTCATTATCAGGTTCTTACCTGTCTATTCTGACGTTCTCTGTCAGTCAGAAGCTGCATTCGTCCCAATTTATGTGATGTTTCTGATGCATCTGATAAAGTATAGTTCAAGAGTATTTGTACCTTCATCATTGTGTTGGCCTTTTCTTCACCTTTTTGTTTAATTGACAAGTCTCCATGCTCATAATTTCTACCTGTTTGTCAAAGCCTTAATCCCAAACCACTGCACCATGACAGTGGAACACCAAATAATCCTAATAAGAGGGAGAAGCATCTA